AAGACCAGTTTATTCAACTTTATTATTATTCAACTTTACCTGCCAACCACTAATTTCAAAGATGAAAAAATTGAAGACTTTTACCAACTTCTGCAGTTTGAAATTGATCCAAGATGCATTGATAATTACTGCTGATGGGAATGTAAAAGTTGGAAACAAAAAAGAAGTATTAGTACTAGGAAAATATGGCCTTGATTATAGAAACGATGTCAGAGATTGTAAGATAGAATTTTTAGTGCAAGGCCAATGGTTTAGTCATGGGAAATTCCTTTTTTTCAACAACATAAACAGCAACTAAACACGTGGATCTCACCAGATGGAATACACAGGGATCAATCGACTACATGTGTAGAAAGAGGTGATGGAGAAGTTCAATATCATCAGTCAGACCAAGTCCAGGACTGACTGTGGAACAGACTATTAAGTGCTCATATTCAAGTTTAGCCAAGTCCACCAGTGAGACCTGGCTGGAGTATAGACTTTAGAGACCATCTGAAGAGTAGATTTAATGCATTGAACACTAATGACTAAAGACAAGATGAGTTATGGGATGATATCATATATATGAAGACAGCAAAAGGTCATGAAAAAGATAAGAAAGAAAAGACCAAAATGATGGATGTCTGAAAAGATTCTGAAACTTGCTCTTAAACCTAGAGTAGCTAAAGAAAATAAAAGAAATAACAAAGTAAAAAGAGTTGAACAGAAGATTTCAAAAGCCAGTTTGAGAAGACAAAGTATTACAATGAAACTTGCAGAGACTTGGAGTTAGAAAACCAAAAGAGAAGCATATGCTTGCCATTTCTCAAGCTGAAAGAACTGAAGAAAAACTCAAGCTTTTAATAGTCATATTGAACACTACTACAAGAAACCAAAAGAGACCTACAGAAGTGAAAGAACATACCATGTTCCTGGATAGGAAGACTCAACATCGTGAAAATGTCAGTACTGCCCAGAGCAATTTACACATACAATGCAATCCCAATCCAGACTCCAACAACATTCTTCAAAGAGATGGAAATGACAATTACTAACTTTATATGGAAAGGAAAGAGACCCAGGATAAGCAAAGCACTGTTTAAGAAGAACAATGTTGGAGGTCTCTCACTCCCTGATTTCAAAATTTACTACATGGCTACTGTGGTCAAAACAGCCTGATACTGGTACAATGAAAGATACATTGATCAATGGAACTGAATCAAGAATCCAGGAATTAACCCAACCATATACAGTCAACTGATTTTCGACAAAGTGCCTAGGTATTTTGCATGGGGAGGAGACAGTCTCTTGAACAAATGGTGCTGGCAGAACTGGAAAGCGATATGTAAAAGACTGAAACAAGACCTTTGCCTCATGCCCTATTGAAAAACAAACTCAGCATGGATTAAAATATGAATCCCAAAATTATGAAGGTCACCAATGAAAAAATAGGGACAAATGTGAGGGTGCTAATTCAGGGCATATACAGACTACCAAACACTTTGAAAACTACACAAACAAAAATAGACAAAATAGATGAGTGGGATATACTAAAAATTAAAAACTTATGTACATCAAAAGACTTCACCAAAAGAGTAAAAAGGGAACCCACAGAATGGGAAAAAATCTTTTGCAACAACACATCAGATATGGGACTCATTTCTAAAATATATAGGAAACTGCAACACCTCTACAAGAAAAAGACAAATAACCCAATTAAAAAAGGGGCACAGGACATGAACAGACACTTCAAGGAGGAGATCTGGGCAGCAAACAAACATATGAAGAAATGTTCACGATCACTAGCCATCAGAGAGATGCAAATCAAAACAACAATGAGATATCATCTCACACCAACAATAACAGCAAAGATCAAAAAAGCAGAGGACTACAAAAGCTGGCGAGGATGCAGAAACGCAGGGACCCTCCTACATTGTTGGTGGGACTGCAAAATGGTCCAACCACTCTGGAAAGCAATATGGCGTTTCCTCAGAAGGTTGGAAATAGAAATATCATGTGACCCAGCAAATCCTCTACTTGGTATTTACCCACAAGAAATACGAGCCATAACATGAGTAGATATATGCACAATGTTCATAGCAGCACAATTTACAATAGCAAAAAAATGGGGACAACTAAAATGCTCATCAATTGAAGAATGGATAAACAAATTGTGGTACATACATACAATGGAATACTATGCTACCCAGAAGAACAAGGAAGCTGCAAGCCATCGCATAACACGGATGAACTTTGAGGACATTATGCTGAGTGAAATTAGTCAGTCACAAAAGGAGAAATACTGCATAGGACCATTATTGTAAAAGACTAAGAAAAAGAACCCACCCAAAAGGGGGGGGCGGAATCTAAATATATAAGTGCTGATCACCTGTATGTATGGGATGAGAGGTGAGGAGGGAGGGGAAGAAAGAGCACAGGGGAGGGAATAGACACAGGAGAACCTGGGGGGGTTGGGGGTGAGGGAAGGCTGGCAATTCACAAGCAGGGGGAGGGGAAAAAGAAGAACAAGGCGGACGGGAGAACAGTTGGGCAGTTTTGCATGGGCTAGGTGGGACAGAGCTAAATGACAAGGTATGCACAACCCTGGAATAACAGGGCCTCAGGATACAGGGATTGAGTCATGGCTTGAAAGGGGGAAAAGAGGGGAATAATGTTAGGATGCTTGGCTGTCTTTTGATTCTTGGTCTCCCTTGCTACCATTGTGAAATAGACACTTGAGGGGGAGGGGACAGCCAGAAACATCACAACAGAAAGCCTATAGCTAACTGGAATACCTTGGGGGGGTGGGGCTAGAGACTGCCCAGACCCAAAATGGTGGGGGGACTATGATGGCATGGACAGATGGAGTAGCTGGGGACACGGGACTCAGGGAGGGAGAGGAGCTGTTTGCTGACAGCTGGGGCAGGCGAGCCTGTGGGGTGTATCCTTTGGTTAGTTGATGATGCACGAAGGGGATTTTAATCATTGCAATGAAATGAAATACGATAGGATGAATGTGAGGCTGAAGTGGGATAGAGGCAAATGATGATGTATGCAAAACCTTGGAACAACAGGGCTCTGGGATTCAGAGATTGAGACATGGTTTGAATGGGAAAAAGGGGGGAAATAATGTTAAGATGCTTGGCTGTCTGTTG